AAGATGACCTTGGTCTTCTAGAAAAGAACGACAACAACACATTCCACAATCCTATTCCTGTCTATTCCCCCCTCCCATCAATTATTTTTAAAAACAGCATAATGAAATAAGAGAAAGTGTGGCAGGCCAAAAGGAAGATAATTGCAGCCCTGACAAATCAGAAATTTAAATTCTTTTTGAGCATTAGAATATATTTAATGGCCTATATTATTATTATTATTATTATTATTATTATTAGAGCCAAATCATGAGTGTCCTTGAAAACTCAATGAAATGATGCACAAAAGGACCAACATCTGCATTTTCCAAAATCTGATTTATTCTGTTTGCTCCAAATACCCCACATTGATTAGCTGCAACTCTCCAATCCTCAAAAAGTGAGGATTTCTTTTTTCCTAATTTCTACTACTGGATGCTTTCAACTAGAAATATCAGGAATTAAATTTGAGTTGTATTCATGCAAGGCTTTTAGCTATGATGCTCAGCATATCACACAAACCCCCAAGACAGGAGATGCAAACACAATTATGGGGTTACACCAACTGTTGGAGATAGGAAACATGCCACAAACATTTCTTTTTAATTGGAAGATTTTAAAAAAAACAAACCCAGGAACTGGACACTAATTTCCAGAATTTACAGGAAATCAAAGAATTTCCAGAGCTATCTAGAGATTGCCCAACCTGCTATGAAAACTTAATCTGGTGCTCTAGAAATTTCTTGTCCCATTCTTAATCCACCCAGAAGTCATCTCTCCTACTTGATGATTTGGGAAAGTTAATTCTCACCAAGACCATTTCCTTTGTTTTCTGGGAGTGGAAAAAATCCCCCTTCTAAATTTAAAAAGTGGCCAGATCTCTTTTTTTCTGGCCAACCAAGCATTTCTCTAGATGTCACTTCTTCTCCCTTTCTTCCTTCCCTTCTCTATTTCTGCCTTATTTTTTCCACTTGAGAATCTCCCAGCCATTTGAGTGGTTAATAATACAGCTTTCCACGTTGCCATATAAGCAGTAGTTAGTAGCAAAGGGCAGAGAGCAAAGACATTGATGTTAGCTGCAGAAGAAATCTGTGCAGATAAAGTCAAGACAAGACATGGCTATATGGAAGGTGAGTCCATAAGAATCACTTGTAAGTTGAGGACAGATCTTTAGATCAAGGGTCTCCAACCTTGGCAACTTTAAGACTTGTGGATTTCAGCTCCCAGAATTCCTCAGCAAGCAAAGCTGGGAGCTGAAATCCACAAGTCTTAAAGTTGCCAAGGTTGGAGACCCCTACTTTAAATCACTAGACCCAATCCTCTTTTTCTCTTCCAATTCTATTAAGGTTTGATGGTTTGCTTTTGTTAAGGTAAAGGTTCCCCTTGCACATATGTACTGGTCATTCCCGACTCTAGGAGGCGGTGCTCATCGCAGCTTCAAAGCCGAAGAGCCAGCGCTGTCCGCAGACGTCTCCATGGTCATGTGGCCACCATGGCTAAACGCCAAAGGCGCATGGAACGCTGTTACCTTCCCACCAAAGGTGGTTCCTATTTTTCTACTTGCATTTTTATGTGCTTTCAAACTGCTAGGTTGGCAGAAGCTGGGACAAGTAACAGGAGCTCACTCCGTTATGTGGCGCTAGGGATTCGAACTGCTGAACTGGCAACCTTTCTGATTGACAAGCTCAGCATCTTAGCCACTGAACCACCGCATCCCTACTAAATGTCTTTACTAAATGACTAATAAATAATGACTAGCACTGATGATGTTACCTAGTTTGCGTAATGAAACATCTGCAAGGAAACAAGCAAGCTCAAGAGAGCACCAAG